AATAAGTTGGGACAAGGAAGAGGTATAGGAAATAATGGATGGTACAGACAAGGTCAACAGGGCATGTTTACTCACCCTTTCACTCTCATTACAAGAGCAAGGGGAAATGCAACACAAAACTCTGCAGTTAAAACTGAGAAAGAAAGTGCCCTGGTTTTTTTGAACCACAACACCCACATAGCCTCAAGAAGATCTATAAACTCTCATGTGTCAGGGTATAAGCCAACCTCTGGCTGTCTGGGGTTAGGCAGAAACTTCATCTACAAGCAGCTTATTCCAAAACTGTCCATTCTGGGTTGATGGTTTTTTGTTTTGTTTCCTCTGGCCACTGAGAGAGACAAGGTCTGGCTGTGCTAGAGAGGTCCCTGGGTCTGACCCACTCTGACTGTTCCTATGACCCGACTTTGCTGGCGGCGTGTTCTTTCGTTTTCCCGCACAAGTAATGGCAAGTCATGAGGGGATTGGAAAGATGTGCTTTTGTTCCCTTCACGCTTCTCTTGTACCTCTTTCTGTCGGCAACCACGCTCAGTACGGCTCACTCCTCCACAGGGCGGGAGGTGCAAGCGAGAACACTGCTAGCTACACCTTGCCAGCCCCTTTCTATGTGGGAGGACACTAGAGGAGCATAGTGTCTTATTTTCTCCTCCGTTTCGTAGGGGGCTGCAGCTAACCTTTCTCTCTCTTTCTTCATCTACCTTGGGCCGATTCTGATCTCCATCAGCAGGGGGGCTGGAGCCATTTGTATAGTGAGGGTGCTGAGAGCCATTGAACCAAACTGTAAACTCTGTATACGATGGAAACTACTTCAAGCCAGGGCGTGCGGCACCCCTACTTCCAGCACCAGTGTCCATCAGTGTAAATCAGGAGTGATGCCCGTGAAGTCAACGGAGCTACGCTGGCATACATGAGATTAGAATCAGTCTCCAAACTTTAAACATGGCACTTTGTCTCTGAAACCAAATGCTTCTTTGTAGGCCCTTTGAGATCAGAGCCGTTAGTCACTGGCACCTCTAAATTAATGGAAAGCCGGGCTCTTCCGTCCAAGCACTACCCTCGCTGCAGCAAGGAGAGCGGAGAAATATCAGAAGGCACCGCAAATCACTGTCTGGACAGGCTGCATTCACAGCGCAATCCCTCCAAAATGCTGCAGAACACAAGATCTCTATTAAGAGTTCATTTCCCTTCTAATCCATTTTATTTACTCCCACCCATCAGGTGGCGTGTAATCCGACTGAGTCCAGGGGAGAGAGAAAGGCCGAATGCAGCCTCAGCTGCAAGCGTATTTATCTTTTTCTCCTGTTAAGAGAAAGAAAGGGACACCATTAAAAGGAACGTTAACTCCTCGTCTCTAAAGAACACCTGAGGCCTAGTTCCATGCTCCCTGAAGCAGTGAGTGAGCAGGTTCTCGTTGTAGATAGAATTACCCAGGGTTTCCTTACAGATGCAAGGAGCGAGTGAAGCATTGTGTGTTTGAATCACCTGGACATGCCACTGGGCAGAAGACAAGCAGCCGCTATCCACAGGCTGGCGGAAGAGATCCTGGCCAGACACTTGGTGGCACTGGTAGCCAGAGCGAACAGGGTGAGGAAATGCATTGTGGTGACACCCTGTAGTGGCAGGTGTGTGACCCACATTTCCAGTGGAGCTGGCATGCGGTTGCTGCTGAGCACGTGGGCGTCACGAGACAAGATAATCACCATAGCAGGTCGCTGCAGAAGGAGAAAAAGAGCGATGCTCGGGCCAGCTGACGGAACTGAAGAACCATCACACAGACCTGCTACTACTGCTTCCTGGCAAACTTAAAGATGGAGTTAAATTCAGCCCGGGTGTGAGTGGGCGCAACTCACTGAACTCTAGCTGTCAGCGTCTTTATTCTTCTCCCTCTTTTATATGACATGGGGTTTAACACGGGAGCTGTGTTCCTTGTGTAAGGGGACATTTGCCCCCTTACTAACATTCGGGGGGGGGGGAGGTTTAGTTGCTAGCTCCCAGTACTAAAAAGGGGGAAGGGTCGATGGGGAATCAGGACCCTGAGATGGACAGTCCCCAGGAACAATGGGGAGAGGCCAATGCTCCAGGTCAGCCTGAATGACAGGGCGGGCAGGCTAACCAGGGAGTCAGGAGGCCAGGGGGGTCCCATCCTCCGTGTGAGCTGGATTTGCCTGGGGCAGACAGAGTGGGGCCGAGCTAAGGAGAAAGCGGGGGCCCGAGCTGAGCTGGGGAGCAGAGCTGGGCCAGATCCAGAGGGACCGGAAAAGCAGCCCAGAGAGAGCAGACCCTGTCCTGGGAGCAGAGCTGCAGCCCCAGAGCCAGAGGCACAGGCCAGAGGGAGCAGACTTGCCCTGGGAGCGGAGCTGCAGCAACCAGAGGCAGAGGGGCCAAAGAAGCAGCCCAGGGAGCAGGTCAGTGCTGGGAGCAGAGTCACAGAAGCAGCCGGCAGAGCAGACCTGTCCTGGGAGCAGAGCTGCAGCAACCAGAGCCAGAGGGGCCAGAGAAGCAGCCCAGGGACCTGGAGGCAGAGCAGCAGCAGCAGCCGTGCTGAGAAGAGCGGTGCAGCTGGGGCTGGAGAGCAGCTGGGGAGAGCGAGGGGGACCCTGGACAGTGGGCCCAGCACAGGGAGACGCCTCCGCCAAGAGGCTCTGCAGGCCAGGCTTGGATCGTAACCCTGACAGGGCGGGGGCGACACTGGAAAGAAGGGTCCTAACACCTAGAGCCTGAGAGCGTGTGGCCACCACCAGAGCGAGTGTTCAACCCACAGCATCCCCGCAGCACAGCCGGGCCCTGAGAAGAAGGCCTGGGACTTACAAGGAACAGACTGTGAACCGCCCTGATGTTCCAGAGACACTGTTTGTGATGTTCCCTGCCACAGAGCGGGGTGATGTGTTTCCTTTAACCTTTCCCATTTTTCCTTATCCTATTTAAAATTAATTGTTGATTAAATAACTTGCATTTGCTTTAACTTGTATGTAATGGTCAGTGGGTCAGAGAAGTGCTCAGGGCAGAGAGAGTACCCCGGAGTGGGGACACCCTAGCCCCTGTCCTAGGTGACCACAGCAGGGTTCGGGGTCGAGCCCCCCAGGAGTCCTGGGCCCAGCCTTGTTGGGGTTACGAGGACTCTGCCAGACAGGAGAGTAGAAGGGGAGTCCTCAAGGGCAGGGAGGCCACTGGCTAAAGGAAGTGGGAGCGAGGACTCAGATCCTTTCGCTAGCCCACTTCACCGGGGCCATGCAGAAGCCAGGAAAGTTCCCCACAAGAGCGGGATTATTCCCCCGCTTACACATAGCACCATACAGTGGAGGAGGCACTTTGTAATGTTTGCAGAAGGACAAGCTCTGTGCTCCAAACAGGCCGCACGGTGACACTGGACTCATACCCTGACAAATTCGTCTGCTCCTTAGTCTGCTGCTTAGTCATTCCAGTTACAATCCCTCCCATATATGACATCACAACTGCCAGCTGGGATGTCACAAGGGACAACCGTGACATCAAATACAGTGGTGACAATGGAAATCGGCATTTAGAGCCAGAATAAATCTAGGCCACCGTGATTGGGGAGCAAAGCCAAACCATGGCTACCATGATACTGAATCCCTTCCTGAGATTCAGGCCTCAGTTTTGCACTGCTGAGCGCCCACTTTGCACTGACCCCCAGCATGGCCTTACAGCCCTGGTAAAATTCCCCCCAGATATGGGGGATCCTCTGTGGATGTAAAGGCAGTGTAACAGATCCGGTGCCACCTCCTTAGTTGTGTACATGGCCAGGGTCCGTTTATACCTAGCTGACCTCCTGCTGCTCTGTTGGCCCCTCTGGCTGCTGGCAGCTGCCATAAATTAGTGCAACCTTCAGGCCAGTACAAGTTTAATGGCAGTGCAGCCAGCCCCTTTACACCTCCTTCTTCGTCACAGCTGAGGATCTAGAGCTTTGGCTGTGTCCAGAACACAACTAGAAAATAGGCCCCTGGGGACTGCGTATCCAAGGCAGAATTGAAGATGTACAAGCTGGCTTGGATTAGTGGATTCGAGTCCAGCCCCTTTCACCCACGTGGGATTAGAAGGAATTCTGAATCAGAGTTCTGGTTTCGGGTTGTTTCTAAATTAGGAGCTCAGATAGGAAATAAGTGGGAGGAACAGACAACCTTCTAAAGAACACAGCAATTGTTACCATGCAAAGGTCCCTAAAAATAAGAAAAGCAAAGAAATATATACCACCAGCAGTATTCACTCGCAACAGAACAGCTTCCAAAGTTTTCTACCTGAGGATGACGACAATAATGATGATTCTTTCATTCAAAGAGAGATCCCAGAACGCACATGGAAGAGTTGACTTTCTGGTCTGCACGCCTCAGGGTCCCCACTACCTTCTACCAAACCCCCACGGTATAACCAAAGTCACAGAACCTGAGACCTGGAGGCCTAACACACTGGCACTCGATACACTACCATGGGTTGTGATGTGAGATGGCAGCAATTTGCCAAAAGAAACGACTCCATCCCATTAAAATGGCGCTCTCGGTGGTGTATATGGCAAACACGGAGGCATTTAAACTGACAGTGAACCAATGGTGCCGGCGCTCCTATGAGGTGGTTTATTCCGAAGTGGCCTGGATACATGTAAACAGCCCCAAGTTATTGGTATTGGCTAAGAGATGTCCCACATTTGTGTATTTGTGTTCCGAGGCTGCCTAGATACAAGGTTTCAAAGGATACATAGATTCTTCCCATCAGTGTGTTAACTTACTGTAGCGGCTTGGTAAGTGTGCTGCATAATGTCCTTCTGAATGGACGCACAGTTATGGGGCCATTGAATGTTTTGTTCTCATTATGTGTAGTCCCCATCATCCTGCTGCTTTCTCACTTGTGGGAAAGACATTCCGGCTAGAGAGCAGTCTCTCACTGGCTTGTTAGATAGGGCAGGGCCAGAGGGGTATGGGGGGGCGGGGTTAGGAAAAAGGCAGCTGGTTCAGGATTGGGGGCTTTGACTTTCCCCTAAATTGTTCCAGTTCCCTGTATGTGCAGGTAGCTCATCCAGATGAGCACCCCATGGTGAGCACTCTCCACTCCATTCATGACCGACTGAATCCTTTCACCTTTGCCATTTGTGAGCTGAGACCCACCGAGACCCTTCTTCCCGGCCGAACCCAGGAGGAGCAATTGATTCAGACTGGGCTCTCAATGACCGTTGTAAATCTGGAATAACTCCACAGACTTCCAACTAAGTTACTCTGCATTTATCCTGCTTTAATTAAGAGAACAATCTGGCTTTCTGCTCATAGGTTCACAGTAAAAAAAAAAGTAAGACTTAATTGTACTGATTGCTTTTAATTGCATTTTAATCTTGATTTAATTTACTTTTAATGTATTGTTTCATCTGCATTTTTATGTCTTATATTTATTTTGTTGCTGTGCCATGAAGGCTGCTCTATAATTAAATAAATAAGGATGTTACCTGCAAAAAGTCCTCCGCTGTTGGCCTGGTTAGCAATTCAGACCCATATTCTGCTTAGTGCCTTGACTGCAGAGAGCAATGAGTAGGAAGAGTTTTTGTTTGCTAGGTGTGCATGGGTGGGTGAGGAGGGAGACAGAAGGCAAAACAAATACATTAGGCAATGAAAATAAATGGATGGGTGAGAGAGGGAGGATTAAACCTTCTGCATGCCCACCGGATGTTGAGACACCAAACTCTGACTGGGTTCAGGAGGTAGTTCCAAGTGGAAATAATTGCAGATTCACTTATCATAACATTGAGAAATGAAAGAAAAGACAACAAATCATTAAACACACTCATTTTGGTGGAAAGGTCTCCACCTCTAAAGAAAACCTTAAAGGACTGTTTGATTTGAATCCTGTTTATTTTTCCAACCATAATTTGGTAGAAATTCTAGACAAATACAGGTTTCAGAGGAACAGCCGTGTTAGTCTGTATTCGCAAAAAGAAAAGGAGTACTTGTGGCACCTTAGAGACTAACCAATTTATTTGAGCATGAGCTTTCGTGAGCTACAGCTCACTTCATCAGATGCATACCGTGGCATCTGATGAAGTGAGCTGTAGCTCACGAAAGCTCATGCTCAAATAAATTGGTTAGTCTCTAAGATGCCACAAGTACTCCTTTTCTTTTAGACAAATACAGACATCTGCTACCTGACCTTTCTCAGCAATGGAATTCCAGTGGATCCAGCAGGAAAGACACCGTGACTGGGGGACACTTTGCAATCCAAGACACCTTACCGCAACAATAAGCTCCTCACCTAGCTGTCTCCCTCTGATTGTGTCCCGTGACTTGACTTTGCATTCTTCACAACAGCTACCCCAACCACAGAGACAAAGAGCCCCCGGAAGTCCTATCAGCCAGCATGCTTTTTACCGTTCGCTGATTTATTTCAGGTACACACCTCCTGCCTCCCCTTGCTTGCTCTTCATGTTGAAAGTGTGACCCAGTAAAGAGATGGGAAGGTGAAACTAAGCAGATGCAACCGCCAGCCCTCCCCTCACACCACCAAGGAGAATAACATACTTTTACGACTGTACAGTAACAGACAATGTCAAAGCAGATGCCCCAGTTAAGTAAACTCCTGAGCTCAAGACAAAGATTGCATGTCTCACAGACGTAAACCAGCCTCTTATGTGGTTATTGGGAAGTGTAGATAAAAATGGTACCAAATGTGATTATGTGTAGAGCACTTAAGGCTGCGGGGGGAGAGGGGGGTGTAAGGCCAGGCTTGCTGGGTGGTCTGCTCAGTCTTTCTAACCCCTTAACGTTGCCTTGTAGGTGCAGCCCAGTGCAATTGCCATAAAATGTGGCAGGAACTGATTACAGAGGGCAGTGTGGGGTGGGTTTCTTTCTAAGTTATTGTATATCCTACAGCAAATTAAACTGCTAATCACAGGCAGCTTGCCCTATGGCCCCCACTCTCTTCCTAATTAGAAAAAAAGAAAAGGTTAACAGACCGGGGTGTTCTGACTCCGATTATTTATATAGTGACTAGCAGCCGCCTAGGGCCAGGACAGCCAACAAGCAGAGTCAATCACGCACATCTCTGCTCGGTGGCCAGCAGTAATTATCACTACCAGAGCTGCCAGGCTGTCAAGAAAAGGGAAAAGACCAACCCGAATACAGGTAAGAGAAGCATCCAATTCACACCCAGCAGCGCATGAGAGTCAGGGAGCCATTTCCAAAGGCCGGGGCCCCCCAGGGAAGAGTCTCCAGTTGATCTTAAATGCTGCAATTTGGGGGGAGAGGGAGACATAGAATGAGAGGCGCATTCTAACCATACCTTAGACCTTCCAATTCCACAGCAGCCACACAGGGCATGAAGATCGTGGCCAGACCAACTCATGTGGCCATTTTCTGAACAGCAACTTCTCCCAGTTCTCCCAGCCCTGCCCTTTTTAAAGTGTCTTTTTAGGGCTTGTTACCACTTGTATTCTGGTAGCATCCAGAGACCTTAATCAGGGACTGGGTCCCACCGGGGTAGCCGCCGTACGCACACATAACAAAAGGACACTCCCTGCCCAGAGTTTTTACTGTTTCTAATTATACAGGGCGACTTAGTGAGGTTGCAAAAAGAAAAGGAGTACTTGTGGCACCTTAGAGACTAACCAATTTATTTGAGCATGAGCTTTCGTGAGCCACAGCTCACTTCATCAGATGTGCTCACATCAGCTGTGGCTCACGAAAGCTCATGCTCAAATAAATTGGTTAGTCTCTAAGGTGCCACAAGTACTCCTTTTCTTTTTGCGAATACAGACTAACACGGCTGTTCCTCTGAAACCTGTCATTAGTGAGGTTGGAATCCTTATAGCAGAGATTTCTCTGTACTACAAGACTGTCATATATAGAGGCCCCAAATAAGATCATGGCCTCATTGTGCTAGCTGCTATACAAACACACAGTAAGAGAGTCCCTGCCCCAAAGAGCTTATACCCTAAACAGACAGAGGGTGGGTGGGGAAACTGAGGCATATAAGGGAAATCAACAGGAGATCTGGAAACAGAATCCAGGTTTTCCAATGCCTCATACAGTGCCCTACCCGCTAAACAAGTGGTTCTCCACCAGGGATCCGGGGCCCCCTGGGGGGGCTGCGAGCAGGTTTCAGGGGGTCCTCCAAGCAGGGCCAGCGTTAGACTCACTGCGGCCCAGGGCAGAAAGGCGAAGCCCCGCTGCATGGGGCTGAAGCCCAGGGCCTGAGACCCACCACCCAGAGCTGAAGCCGAAGCCTGAGCAGCTTAATTTCATGAGGCCCCTGTGGCGCAGGGCCCCAGGCCATTGCCCGGCTCGCTACCCCCGAACGCCGGCCCTGGCTTCTATACGCAGAGAACCAGCTACTGTGGCCCGGGAGGCCGTGGGGGGGGGGTCAGAAATAAAAAGGTTGAGGACCCCTGCACTAGCCCACACTGTCTGTCTCTGGGCCCTTTGAAATAACTTTGAGTGCTCTCCCAGCTGGCACAGAGCAAAGCAGAAAATCTCAGAGCCTCGCCCAGAGGCAGCACACAGGGATTGACTCCGAAAGCTGCGACAGGCCTCTGCCTTCCCCAGCCTCAGCGGCCAGGCTGGAGTGACTGGTTCTCTCAGATAGCCTGGAGTGCTCTCGCCTCTCGTGGTTCCTGTCACCTGCGATTAGCGAGCGCGCCGCACGCTATCCAGCTGTGAGGGTCCCTGAGCCTTCTGCTCTTGGCGAGAACAGCCCTGGCCACCCTCTGGGAGAAATGGACGCGTTCAGGCGGGCCAAAGAGAGAAAGGTGGTAAATGGCTGGAGGGGTGCCAGTGGCCACAAGCTGGGGCTGCTCTCCACCCAAACTCAGAGACACCAGACCAAACTCGAGTGGCTAGCCAGACCGGAGGGAGGAATAAACAGGCCAGCAATTAGGGAGAACCTCAAGAGAGGGATGAAATTCCAAGCAGCCCTCGTCTGTCACTGTGGAAGCTCAGGAAGAAAACAGGGAGGTTATTCTTCATTGGACAGGAAAATAAGCAGCGATAAGTGCTGTGCTAAGGGGCCCATCGATAACAGTAATAATACCTCGTTCTTATATAGCACTTTTCATCTTTGATCTCAAAGCTCTTTGCACAATGGGGACACGGATTCTTACTGGCTTTGTGGATGGGGAAACTGAGGCACAGGGAGGGGCAGTTGGTTGCCTAAGATCACCGGGCATGATAAAAGCAATGCTAGGAAGAGAACAGAGGGCTCCTGAGTTGCAGACCACTGCTCTCTTCCTTAGGCCACATTGCCTCCTCTGCACCTACTGCCAAAGTTTTTACAATAATTACATTAAACCCCCCCCCACGTGAAACTCCTGGAGGTTTTATTGCTGACTCAGTCTGATCATGCTCTATGGAAGTTTAATTAATTGACGCTCAAAGCTTCCAGAACAAACCTGAGCCAAGTTTTGTCCATTAAATAAAACAACATTTTCTGGGTTTTTCAGGAGAAATTCAGCAGTGTTATTTGAGCTTTGCTTTGAGGATTTAGAGTCCATTCTAACCTTTAATTAGAGATTGGTGTGACCCAATAGCACAGCTCCAAAAAGCTTCTGGGACACTGGTGGGTTTGAAATCAGAATGTGGCCTGGAATCAGCATTTGCTATGTCCCCTCTCTTTATCAAGCACCAGACCAAAGCCTAGCTCCAGACACCCCTGAACGCTAGGATAACAGTCCATTTACCAAATCCCATTCTCCTGCCCAATACCCTCTCGCTCCAAAACTCAGAGTGAAGCTCAGGGACACACCAGATGGCACCAGAGAAAAATGTCCATGACAGCCATCTGCAAGGGACAAAGGCTGCATTGGGCACCTCAGTACGCTGCCCCTCCAGAGCAGAGATCGGAGATTCCCCTGACTGCTCACATTCCAGGCAGTTCTTTGGCAGTACTGGAATTAAATGATGTGTTCTCAAGGTCTGTCCTGAAGGATTTCTCTCTCACTCCCCACAGGTCCTCCCTCCTCAAACACTTTTAGTTAAGGGGCTCTCCAGAAACTTTAGCAACTTTATTGCTTTGAGTGTATTTTTATAACCCTAAAATAATGGCCCAGCCCATTCGAGGTGAGCTCTGTGATAATCCTATTGGAGTATGCCACAGTGATTTGAAAGGAGTGTACATGACTAGTGTAGTACCAGAAATACAAAAGGAATCAGTAATGATTGGGCTATAAGTTTTAAAGTGAAACCATTTGTTTAGCATTGGCCTGTTCCTGGTAGCCCTCTGGCATTAGCACTCAATGTACAGCCGCGAATGGGTCAGGCCAACCTGGCGTGGCAAGCTGGTGCGTGGCTAGGATGGGACCCGCCCATTGCCCAAACACTATTTGCCAGTCAAGTTTATTTCTTTCTTAATGTCGTAATTACCAAGACTCTTGGAAATGCCTTAGTAAGCAGATAAAAGAGCACGCGAAATTGTACACGCAGGGTACAATGTACAGTCACCCGGGCTGATAAACCAAC